CAGTCGGTGGTTAGGCATACGCAACACATCTCCCAACCACCTCAACTGATGAAGTTTCACCACTTCATCGATTGATCTGCCATTCTTACCCAGTACTCGTTTCCTAACGACAGCATTGCTTACTCGGCTGTCCCACGATATACGAGCAATGCTTCTAAAACATCTATGAACGAATACTAGTAACCTACGAGCATCTTCTACTCTTAACGGCCATGTTTCACAGCCATATAAGAGAACGGAACGAACTACTGCGCAGTACACTCGTCCTTTAGTCAGCAAACGGATATCACGCCTACGCCATAAGTGACGCAGGTTGGCAAAAGGCAGTCGAGCTTTCTGTATCCGTGCTGAGATTTCGTCAGTCACCAAGTTATCATCGCTGATGAGACTCCCCAGATAAGTGAAGTGATCAACACGCTCGACTACTTCACTCCCTATTACTAGTTCAGGTGCCGATGCAACCCAATCTTGAAGCAACATTTTGCATTTCGAGGGTAAAACCGCATCACGAACAGGCTTGCATGTTGCTCAGGGTAGTCAGAAGACTCTGTATTTTGTCAGCGTCTTCATCGAATAGAAATATGTCATCGGCATATTCTAGATCAGTAAGCGACTTTCCTGGTAGAAGGTCAACCCCTGAAAAATCTGATGAGCTTAATGTTAACTCTAAGAGGATGTCTACGACAAAGTTAAACAAGAATGGGGAGAGTGGACAGCCCTGACGGACACCACTTGATGTAGAGAATTCCGCTGACAGTTCGCCATATGCTCTCACCCGACCAGTAGTGTTTGTGTAGAGAGCTTGTATAAGGTTAATGCACCTCTTTGGCATACCTTTCAATGACAGACACTGCCACAGAACCTCACGATCCACTGAGTCAAATGCCGCTTTTACGTCCAGGAACACGACTATTGTCGGACGTCTAAATGTGTGTCTGTGTTCCAGGACCTGTCGTAGTGTGAAGATGTGGTCTATACAACCACGTCCAGGTCGAAAACCAGACTGGTTTTCTCTAGTCTGCTCTTCACGAACAATAGTTCGGCCTCTAAGTATAATCGAGGCTCACAATTAAGAAACTATGTTAGTTAGACTGACCCCTCTGTGATTGTCACAAGAAGACTTTTGTCCTTTTTTATAACCACGGACAATCAGTGATTGAGACCTGTCAAATGGAATTACGTCCAGTTCCCAGATTCTACCTAGGATCTCGGTCAGTCTAACCATTAAAACTGGACCACAATCCTTAAACATCTCACGAGTTAGCCTATCAGAACCTGCTGCTCTACCTCGCTTCAGATTTCCTATAGCTTTCTCAACTTCATGTAAACTGGGAGGACTTAAATCGACTTGCCATTCAGGATGACTGGAGATCGTGGGCAACCGAAGAGTGGCTGAAGGCCAGTTGAACTGATCCCTAAAGTGTTCTGCCCATCGGTCCAGCCTCCTAGATTGAGAATGGATAATAAGACCATCCTTTTCCGAGATAGTCTCACTTACATTCGGGTTCCTAATACCGGTTTCTTTGATAAGGCGGAAAAGTTGTCTACTGTTGCCTATCGCCGCTGCCTTTTCCATCGCTTTTGCTTCCGCCACCCACCACTGTTCACGGTCGTTACGTAGGCTTTTTATAAGTCTGCGCCTAAGTTGAGTACGCTCTTCATCATGTTCAGAGTCAGGTGGGATGCGTTTTCGTGCATCCATCAGTTCGGTGGATGCGACTGAAATCCACGGCTTCATCCTAGCCTTGTGGTTTACCTTACTAGCAGATATCACTGCTGTTTCCACAGCCTTCTTGATATGATTTCAACCTGACTCCGGATGGGAATCACTTGCATGGCCGCCTAACTGTTTTTCTAGTTCCTCCTGAAATATTTCCTCAGCTTGATTATCATCAAGTAAAGCCCTAAGAGGCTTCCTTACGGTGTCTTTCCTACGTCCAGCAAGCCTCAAACAAATACGTGCTCGCACTAGGGCATGATCTGAATCCAGACATGTGCCCCAGAACGAGCGACAGTCCTCTATCGAACCCCTCCATCGGTGGCTGCTGGCGATATGATCTAGTTGTGTGCAACGTTGAGACGACTTCGGGGGTCGCCAGGTCAAAAGGTGTTTTTCCTTATGCTTAAAATTAGTGTTTGCTGGAAATAGTTGGTTATCTGAGCACAGTTGAAACAGACGGTCGCCATTGTCTGTTCTTTGAGCCGCGAGACCATAACATCCACCTAGGTGTCTTTCATTTTCATTTAGTCTACCTACTTGAGCATTGAAGTCACCAGCCATTATAACTATATCAGAGCGCCTAGCTTTTTGGAGGAGGTCCGAAAACTTTCTGTAAAACTCATCTTTCATATCGTCTGGACTTCAGTCAGTGGGGGCGCAGGCTGATATGACGAAGAGGCAACGACGAGTGTCCCTATCTTTCCGAGCCCTTACTATCCCGTTTAGTCGGACGGCGCACAAGCGACTATCTACAGGGATCCAGTCAAGGAGAGATTGTTCTGCCACACAACTCAATGCTATACCTACACCGGCGAGGCCCCTGGAAGCAGCATCAGGGCTACCGGATACACGCAGGGTAAATCGAGCTGCTTCTTTATCTTGACATGGTGAGGTCAAATGAGTGATGCTACTCGGATCCTGTATGCGCGTTTCCGAGATGCAGCACACATCGATGGAACGAGATTCTAAAGTCCTAGCTAATGACGCCTGTTGCCCCATTTGACACAATGTCCGTACATTGAATGCTCCAACATGTAGTTTGGAACGGGGTTTAAGGAGACCAGGAACGACGTTTCGCAAACTCGCATCGTTTGCATTAGCTGTGCACTGTAATAAATGAATGTGAGAAGAGTTAGTTGTGGAGATAAGAGAGGTATTAGGGAATGTAGGAAGGATTTGATTTTGAACAATTTTGTCTCGTGTGCTGTTGCGGGTATGAGGGCGGTTATCACTTCCCGGCTGCCCACACCGTGGAAGGTAGTTTCTTGACGAACCGGAAAAGGAAGATGGATTAGTGTTGGTGCGTGACCGCAGAGTCCAAGGGACAACTGCTTCAGGCCGGTCACGCACGGCCTTTTCATGAGAGGCATTTAGAGGATTAGCTCCGTTCTTAAAGGCCCTTAGTGGGCACCCTTACCCAAGGAGACGGAAATCCGTGAGGTAGGGGAGGTGTGACATTTTATGGCCGACCTTTTCTAACCCTTCCTTCCTTGTGAGAAGGCAGCATCGCTGCAGATGCTGGTTGTCCGAGGGAAACACCTTACTGCTGTCACACCCCTCTTCAGTCAGCAGTACGACTTCGCCCTCAGACCTTGGGTAGCTGCTTTTAGTCTCATCGTTCTCCAATCGACCTGCCTGGCATGGTAGGACCTGCAGGAACATGTGTTCCAGCCAGTATAGCTCGGTTGGGTCATCACGATAGGCAAGCCCGACCACCACGTCAAGGTAGCAGCTTCGGTCGGGGTCTATACAAAGTTGATGTACTTCTTCGGTAAGCCTTTTAATAAAAGACTTTCACAGAACCTCATGATCAACAGGATCGAACGCTGCCTGAAGGTGAACGAACAGAGTTATAGTTGGACGTCAAAAAGCATGCCAATGTTCTAGAACTTGGTGCGGTCCGGAGAAACTTATATAGCTTTATGTGAAAATTTGGTCGATACATCGACATATACGTCTGAACTTCCTGTAGTTTTCTTGAGTTTGCTCTTCACGAGTGATAGGCGTTGGATTGAAATACTTAAGTCAGTTTGCCACTCAGGTTGCTTAAAGATGATGAGTAACAGTAGTGTGGCTGAGAGCCAGATGAACTGTTACCTAAAGTGTTATGTTCATAACTAATCTCCTAGACTGACAGTGAATAGTCCCATCTTTTTCCAAGATAGTCTCACTAACAGTCTGCTTTTCAACACCTGTTTCTTTGATAAATCTAAATAGACGTTTACTATTACATAGTACCTCTGGTATTTCTGTCTCTTGCTTTCACTGACCACCATTGCTCGTGATAATTGTGTAAGCTTGTTTCCAGTCTACATTTAAGCTGTCTACTCGTTGTGATTGGATCATAATGCAATAAGTTTTCCAGTATCTAAAAATTCCATCGGTGCAACAGGAATCTTTTGATGTTTCTTAGGCTTTTGATTTAGGTTACTGGCAGATATTACTAAAATTCAGTTACCATGTCAAGTTATCTCGGGTGGATATCCCTTTACTAGCTGACTAAATGCTTCTCTAGTTGTTCCAGAAATATGTTTTTGACTTTATAATTAGGAAGAGAAATTGTAGTGACGTATGAAGCTATATAAAAAAGAGTGGATTTTAGATGGAGCTGTATTTGCTTCTGCATGTTTCGTGGAGGCAATGAACTAATATTTTATATAAAGTTAGTTTTCTAAAAATACACTTACTGTTGAACTGGATCGACTTTTTCCCGGCTCAATATAATCACCATTCACTCCAGATTTGAGGGTATTCATAGATATCGTACCATGATCGGATGGTGTGCTAGAAGCATATATAGGTGCGCTAGGTTGAGTGGTAGACTGTTGTAGCATATGTTCCTGAGAATTTCCTTGATATATATTATCCTGAGTAGGTAACGGTTGAGCTCTCTGGTAATGTTTAGATAAATATTGTGCTAACTCAGGGTCCATTTCGCTTGTATCGAGAACTGGGAGAAGATGAGCAACTGCTGGTGATGTTGAAGATTTATTGGCAGTGGTAGTAGTCTTTATTTGATTCTGCAGTGTAAATGATATTTATTTTTTTATATTGAAGATAAACAATTTTTGTTTTAAATATACATAATTTGATGTAGTAAATTCGACAAGATAGAACGTTTCTTAGTGTATATTTCTAAGTGGATTTTTAAAGGAATTAGAGAAAAAATTTGCCGAAACCGGTCAGATAATTTAACATGGATTGCAATGAGTCGGATATTTGAAGTTATGGAAGCTATATCGTTTGAAATCAGACGATCTACACACCGTTGTTCTTTGATCTAACACTTTGTTGCATGCTCATGCACAAAATTGTCGGTCCAACCAATCTTCAAGCGCAACTTTTCAAGCTAGTCAAGACACTCTTGAGAGCCGCGAACAAAACTATAAACTAATTTGGTTTCTACAATAACTTGACATTCAAATATTGCAATCGCATTATTACACTAGGCTAGGGGTTTTAAAATACATATATTTAACATTAGAGTTAAAATATTGTAGACTAACGGCACTATTCATACAACTTTCAATTCATATCTGTGTCGATTAAAACCTTGGATTACTTAAAATTTAGTCGTCAACATCATTTGTAACTTGCACCCAGATCATATACCACTACGAAATATAAACAGCCATAAAATTACCAAGATTTTAAAACTTTACAATCCTATTAAGCATTAATTTGAGTAATGAAATGTAACCGACACAAAACGTTGCCTGTTAGAAACAAACGAGATTGATATAAAACAAATGATAATGCTGTAGTTAGCCAATAAATACTGTACGACTTATAGAACCGAGGTTAGGATAGTAAGAACAATCCTCACCTAGTTTAAAGAAGTAGACTTTCTAACCATCATACATAATCAAGAACTATGAAATGCTATTACAGCTGTTATTTCATTTGAGTCACTTAATCTACAACAACTACAGTAAACAAGAAAATAAAAATATAATAAACAGACTTACATTTCTCTGGTTCGATTCTGCTTCACTAGCGCTTAAAGCTAAAGCCAATTCGAGATCCTCGTTTTCCTGCTGTTCCAGTTGTCGATCTTTTTCACGTCGAAGCTGAAAGTTGGGACAAAGTTACATTCTACAAATCACTGAATAATGAGTACAGCTTGTCGTGAAGTAAAGTAGTTTAAAAAATATCGCAACAAATAGTGGCTGGTACAAGATTGAGGAAAAACAAAACTTAAATTCTCATATAAGAGTAGCACGTACTAAGTTGCTTAATTCAAAGATGCTTAAAAAGGCAATAATCTGTGCGAATAAACGAGCTATTACAATATTTTGAAAGAGTACGTTTTTTCCGCAGTAATCAATTTTTATCGAAACTAATATTATCGCCTGAAACTACTGGTTTGCGATCACTGGTTTAAGATGAGAAATGATAAGAAACTTCTCAGTTTTCTTATTGACCCTACGGAGAAAATATGGGTTACTATTCTCATAAGCTTCCAGACACGATTAGTTTCAATTAGTTTTTTTACTTCAGCATATAACTGAACAGTAAAGCAGAAGAGAAAAACAAGAACCAGCAGATCTGTTTCACAGTATAGATTTAACTTCTTCAATAACATACACTTGGTGTGTCGTTATATTGAACTACCTCGGAACAATAATTTTAACTAGTCTTATAAGCCTCGGTATCCTTAATAAGTTGGGACGAATATCGACTATTATTTTGGTTGATGCTTTCTTCACACCTGAATTTACAGTAATACAGTAACTTGGAAAGGTGTATTTTTGAGATTCGATTGCATCTGTCATCTGTGATTTTCTATAACAACAATTAAAACGAGTTCGCATGGATTATTGGAATGGCATATATTTCACAATACCAAGTTATGGATTAAACTTATTATGTAGAAACTAGGGACACCTCAATATTTTAAACTTTCATAAGAAGATAATTTTAACCTGGAATAGATTGTTCAGAATGCAAACGGGTAGATTAAGTGGAATTAGTCCACCTCAACTACATTGGGTAGTTGTTCAAACTTAATGAGATTTACTATTCCAAAGACTTTCTTCTAACATGTTGTATATGGTACCGCAATACAATTTCTGATAATCACCAGATTGCTGCCTTGATTTTATTACCACTGGAGTTGAAATTAAAAAACTACACACCAACTGTGTTACAGCGGTTAATAGGAATTTCAAGCTGGAGCGTCGTTGACGTCTAAGTCAATGGTCTTTTTAATAATTTCGATGGTGACGCGATTCAGCTCCACTAATGGCTTAGCTTAAGAGTTATGAACTAAGCTAAAACAATGTTGTTTTTTCCAGCTGATCCCGACTGCATTTAGATAGCTGTTTGTGTAGAAATTAGAAAAATTGATTTTACAAATATCATTTCACTACATTTATTTTTACTGTGTTTAGTGAAGTTACTGATTATTATTTATTAGAACGAGTATGATGGTATCTCTAAAGAACTTATGTTCAGTCTGATCTGAACTCTACCGAAAAGTGGAGGACTAAAAGTACTAAAAAATGATTAACTCAAGTTCGTACAGAACCAAAACAACCATAATATGGATTGAGCAGAGGAATTCGTCTTTTTGTTTATAGATTTAGTTTTACTGCTACGTTCAGTAGCTCTGGATCAGGGGCAATGCTTAGAAAGGATGGGTCATGAACACAATGATTACTTGAAATTAAATTATTACCAATACTTATATTTTTGAGGAATTTGTTGAAAACGAAGTGTGAAACCCTTCTCTAGAATGTCAGTTATGAATCACGGTGTTGTGTTGTATGTTGACGGAAATATGATACATTTGAAAGCGCAATTTACTGACATTAAGGATAGTATTTGCGAGCTAAGATGAAAGGTTAGGAAATTATACAGGTGAAAATACCTAAGGGCGAAGTAATGAAGGAAGTAATAGATAGTTAGCAGAGTTGATGATAATTAAGGAGAACTATGGTACTGCTTACAAGGTGAATAATCCTTTTTAATCGAAAACCTAGCACATCTTGAGATTTGAAAATGTCTCAAGAAAGAAATACGTTAAAAGGTATCAATACCGAAGGTGAAGGAATCAGCCTAAAAGCGACAGGAAAGATAGGTTGATTATACAGGTAGAGGAAATATATTTCAACTTATCTGTTTACCAGACATGATCTAATGTCGTGTGCTCCTATTTAAGACTGGGTTACTGGAATGGGACGTTTAGTATATTTGTTTAAACAGTACATTATTTCTCATTACAACAAAAGTAAACAATAAGTTTATAACAACATATGTAAAGACTTATGGCTTTGAAATGCCTGTTGGTTATCTTCTGATCTATGAGCTAATAAACCTAAATATTGGAACGTCAACCACAAGAGTAGGAAACAACTGATACCTAAATAAATAAATGGAGTTTATAGAAGTATTTCTTGACCATTAAGTGATGCTCAGAACCCGATTACAACCTACAGCATCTTACACCGACAAAAGAAGTCGTAGGAAGTGTTATGCTAATGATTGTATAAGTGTAAAAAGTAGAATAGCTGAGATGAGTGAAATTAAAATAACGAAACCTAAGCTTTAAGTGTATAAACATATTCAAAAACATGTAATTGTGACTTGAAAACGAAAATACAATTACCTGATTCTCCTTCTCAACAGACCTTCTATCTTCAGAGTTATTTGAAACAGAAGACGGTCTTGTCAGAAAACATAAGAAACAAGTTAGACATTATACCAGGATATATTGCGAAAATGTATATACTAGCATACACTACTACTGTAGATAATAATAATAACGATAACTAGTCAGCAACAAACAACACAGGTCTTGGTGTAATATTGTATTGTGCCAAGTTGTTAAAATACATTATTAGAGTGAGATAACACAACAGAAACGCGCACCAAAGTAGTTTTAAATAATAGAGTAGATGATAGTAATTAAGATTAAACACTGTGAATATGGTTCGAAAATGAACGAGGTTGAGATATAAGTGTGTGACCAGAAGATGACGAATGAACTAATCCGTAACGAAGCTACTTCTATACAAATCTGTACTTTGCGTTGAGGTAGATGTTGGCTACACATGAGTGATACCTGTCCCAAACCTAGAGGTTATAGAGGCTTATAGCCTACTCAGTCGGTTTATCATTTTTACATGGTACATTTAGTTCATTCTTAGTGTTGTTTACCTCATGATCACACCATAAGTCAGCAATGCTTAGGATACGCTTATGATAGGTTTATTGTAATGGTTTTCTACTTGTAATTCTTATCATCATGGGGCCTGAAGATATGACAGCTTGAATCGATGCTGTGAAGTTAATGTATCGCAGTCTTCTCTACCAGATTTACAAAGCCAAATACTTCCGCATAATGGAAATTATCCTTAACCCTTTACCTAAGCCCAGATACCCAAATGAAAGTGTCCATTTGAAACATAATTTCTGTTACATTTTCAGATTATAACAGTAACAGGAAGCAAATCGCTATATGCCTTATTAAACGCATAGATTTGCTACAATGAAATGATTCCAACTCATTATTTGAGGGACTAACCGAATCACACAATTTTCATAGCCAGAATGAATAAAATAGGTAAAATTTTGTGACCTAGCAACTCATGAGATGAATGCTAATTAGTCAGAGTAACCGGATTTCAGCTACAGGTTTTAATTTTATTAAAATCGACTTTCGACTATAAAGCAGTTGCTTTTTGGAAACAAATTATTTCTTATAAATGAAAATGTGTCTTAATTCTACCGGCCTAGTGATGATTAAAAAAGAAGGATTATCGCAAGCTACACTGTAACGAGGAGTAAGAGTAACCTCATAACTCCTTTCAGAAGTTACAACTGAACAGTTTTGCTACAAAGTTTATTGCAACTCAAGTCAACATGTAAATCAACAGGCGAGTGTTACTCTCAACGATCATGAAATGAAATAACAAATAAAACCATATTGACAATTACCTGTGAATTGTTTCAAAGCACAAATCACAAACACGAACTTCCTTCTCGATGCCAAATTCAGGTAAAACGGTGCGCGATGAGGTACACTCTCCACAAAACACCTGACCACACTTACGGCAATGATGCTGGGAAAAATTATGGTAACGATATAATTAAGAGATAAAAAAAGAAAACACACAAGGGGACATTTTAACTAAAACTACCATGATAATAAAGTGGCAGGGAAAATAGATCTATCAGATTTGATACTGTCCAGTTTTCTAAACGGTAGTAAGCTGAAAAACGCTCAAGCTTGAGACAGTAGACGAATGTCTAACATCTTAACGATCAAGCAATCTGTAGGGTACGGAGTTTATTAAATCAACGGCTGTAAAAATTAAGACTGATTTTAACAAGACTGAAGTAACGATCGACAGTTGTTTGGACCAAAAACAAATATAAATGAAGAAGGATTCAATGTATAAGGTCATAACTATTAATTAAAATAGTGAATCTAAAAAAACATTCAATCAATCTGAAGTTTACAATTTCTCAGCATGAATTGCATAATGAAATACTTTTTTTCTGACTCCCAGTAATCTATATATTTTAGAATAAAGCTAGAATGATCAAGATACCATGCAATTCAGGGTTTCACGCTTTAGTGTAATTATTTTTCAACCAACAGCAAAGTCAGCGTTTTTAACACACACGTCGAAACATTTGTATCGTATGGAGCGGAAACACGGAGAACTACACAAGCCATCATCCAAAAGATAAAGGTATTGATAAATAGGCATCGTAAGATACTGCGGACCCGTTGGCCAGACACTAAAAGCAACAACCTACTGTGGCAAAGAACATACCAGCTTCTTGTGAAGGAAGAAACCAGGAAAAACGCTGAAGGTAGATAAGACACGTTGAGGAAATTATCTGACGGCGTCACGAGAAAGGCCCTAACTCGGAATCCTCAAGGCTAAGGGAAGAGTGGCAGGCATCAAAAAAATAAGTAGCAATAGGGCTGAGATTTTAGCACTTACACCGGCCATGTTTCACAAACGCAAAGTAATACATAGCTGATTGTTGGGAAGTATACTTATACCCTACTGATAGCTTTAAATATCCATGTAGAAATATCACCAGCCACCAACTCAATACGGTAATTAAACTTCCAAAATAAATGTAGTAGCTGGGATGATCATCACTCTCTATAGTCAAACTGGGCATTGATACTGACAAGTTGTGTAGCTACCATTAACATTCGGTAGGAGAAAAACCTTTACCAAATATTCCAGCACTGTTACTAATGGTAACTCTGCTCCAAGAAGAGGGTTAGGTATGGGATTAGCAACCACATCCCTTAAAAAAAACCTTGCTAAAATATGGTACTTCAACTATTTAGGTTCTTCTCTGGGGGTCGAATTATCTTCATCTAGAAAAGTTGACTTCTCATAGTGAAAGCCGGGACTCTTGAAAAATAATGAAGTCAATGCCTCTTCCGAAAACCAGAGCAATAATTAATATACGCAAAAAATGTTCAGACAAGGGAAAATTTGGAAAATCATTCAAACAGCTGCGAAAATGAAAGGATACAAACTGTCGAGGCTTGGAATCAGTGACACTCAATAAGCGCGAGTTAGACATAAAATATTAACTTCGGGATAGCTGCTGAAGTATTCTGGTCACGAAGAAAGTGTTTTGCACACACCAGGAGTTGTGTATTGACGCTTTCAAAATAAGTGTGGAATGTACCTTTAGGATGAAAATCTCAAGGATACAGTATCATCAAAGCACCCTTCAGCACGAAATAGGAAGGAACTATAAGTAATGTTATCCAGTGCCGCGTATCCACCAACATCTGTAGCAACCAAACCACACTTAATGGAGAAGCTTTGGAGGATGTAAAACGCTCTAAATATCTGGGCAGCGTCATGGATGATACGGATCTGAGCAACAACCTACTGTGTGATGAAATCGGGAAGCGCTAGAACTGGACCGAACACAACGCGGGAAGCACAAGACCAGCTCTCACTTGGAATCCTCAAGGCCGAAGGGAAACAAAAGAACAAATTAGGCTGAGAAATGGGACGGACGTAAGAAAAATGAACACCAGTTGGACAGAACTGGAAAAGCAGGCCTCGGACAAAGTAGGTTGGAGAATGCTGGTTTGCGGCCTATATTCCACTGGGCGTAACAGGTGTAAGTAAACCTTTATTTGGATCTCAGTCAGTCAGTCAGTTGCAACGTAGAACTTCGTACGTATGTACATAAGTTCATGTTGCCATACCAAATTAGCACAGAGACGCAAATGTCAAATCAAATCCCATAGTGACAAAGATAGTAGGGGTATTAATGGTAATGAAGAATACTAGGGTTCGAAGATATTATTCAAGAAGTATGATTCAGTGAGATAAGGTTAGAAAGACAAACGTAGAGCTGCTGAAGAATCCAGAAGATTAGGATTTGAGAGAGCTCAAAGAATGGATGCACTTGCGCCATTGCAAACAATTTTGAGCCATATCGTTCAAAATCTCTAACCATCGGTGACTTTCGTCTCGCGGACCTCAACCAGGTAGTCTACATCTACCAACATGACTCAGTCCACTAGTCAGTGACTTCATGGATTTCTGCCATGTTTTGGTCTGGCCGCCCTTGGCTTTCTTCCAACCTACTCCTACACCACAAAACAGCTCGTCGAGGCAGTCGGTGGCTAGCCATACGTAACACATGTTCCAACCACCTCAACTGATGAAGTTTCACCACTTGATCTATTGATCTGATCTGCCATCCTTACCTAGTACTCGTTTCCTAACGACAGCATTGCTTACTCGGCTGTCCCACGATATACGAGCAATGCTTCTAAAACATCTATGAACGAATACTAGTAACCTACGAACATCTACTCTTAACGGCCATGTTTCACAGCCAGATTGGAGCACGGAACGAACTGCTGAGCAGTACACCCGTCCTTTGGTTAGCTAACGGATATCACGCCTACGCCATAAGTGACGCAGGTTGGCAAAAGGCAGTCGAGCTTTCTGTATTCGAGCTGAAATTTCGTCATTCACCAGGTTATCATCGCTGATGAGACTCCCCAGATAAGTGAAGTGATCAACACGCTCGACTACTTCACTCCCTATCACTAGTTCAGGTGCCGATGCAACCCAATCTTGACGCAACATTTTGCATTTCGAGGGTAAAACCGCATCACGAACAGGCTTGCATGTTGCTCAGGGTAGTCAGAAGACTCTGTATTTTGTCAGCGTCTTCACCGAATAGAAATATGTCATCGGCATATTCTAGATCAGTAAGCGACTTTCCTGGTAGGTCAACACCCCTGAAAAATCTGACGAGATTAATGTTAACTCTAAGAGGATGTCTACGACAAAGTTAAACAAGAATGGGGAGAGTGGACAGCCCTGACGGACACCACTTGATGTAGAGAATTCCGCTGACAGTTCGCCATATGCTCACCCGACCAGTAGTGTTCGAGTAGAGAGCTTGTATAAGGTTAATGTACCTCTTTGGCATACCTTTCAATGACAGACACTGCCACAGAACCTCAAGATCCACTGAGTCAAATGCCGCTTTTACGTCCAGGAACACGACTATTGTCGGGCGTCTAAATGTGTGTCTGTGTTCGAGGACCTGTCGTAGTGTGAAGATGTGGTCTATACAACCACGTCCAGGTTGAAAACCAGACTGGTTTTCTCTAGTCTGCTCTTCACGAGCTTTCGTTAAGCGTCGAAGTATTATTGATGTCAATATTTTAGATACTATATTAGTTAGACTTATTCTCCTGTGATTGTCACAAGAAGACTTTTGTCTTTTTTTATAACCACGGACAATCAGTGATTGAGACCTGTCAAATGGAATTACGTCCAGTTCCCAGATTCTACCTAAGATCTCAGTCAATCTAGCTGCTAAAACTGGACCACAATCCTTAAAATTCTCAGGAGTTAGCCTATCAGAACCTGCTGCTCTACCTCGCTTCAGCTTCCCTATAGCTTTCTCAACGTCATTAAGACTAGGGGGACTTAGGTCGATTTGCCATTCAGGATGACTGGGGATCGTGGGTAACCGAAGAGTGGCTCGTGGCCAGTTGAACTGATCCGTAAAGTGTTCTGCCCATCGATCCAGTCTCCTGGATTGAGAATATGCCCATCCTTTTCCGAAATAGTCTCACTCACATTTGGGTTCTTAATACCGGTTTCCCCAATAAGGCGGAAAAGTTGTCTAGTGTTGCCGATCGCCGCTGCCTTTTCCATCGCTTTTCCCTTCTCCACCCACCACTGTTCGCGGTCGTTACGTAGGCTTTTTATAAGTCTGCACCTAAGCTGACTACGCTCTACATCATGTTCAGAGTCAGGTGGGATGCGTTTTCGAGCATCCATCAGTTCGGTGGATGAGACTGAAATCCACGGCTTCATCCTAGCCTTGTGGTTTACCTTACTAGCAGATATCACTGCTGTTTCCACAGCCTTCTTGATATGATTTCAACCTGACTCCGGATGGGAATCACTTGCATGGCCGCCTAACTGTTTTTCTAGTTCCTCCTGAAATATTTCCTCAGCTTGATTATCATCAAGTAAAGCCCTAAGAGGCTTTCTTACGGTGTCTTTCCTACGTCCAGTAAGCCTCAAACAAATAAGGGCTCGCACTAGAGCATGATCTGAATCCATACATGTGCCCCAGAACGGGCGACAGTCTTCTATCGAACCCCTCCATCGGTGGCTGCTGTCGATGTGATCTAGTTGAGTCCAACGTTGAGACGACTTCGGGGGTCGCCAGGTCAAAAGATGTTTTTCCTTATGCTTAAAATTAGTGTTTGCTGGAAATAGTTGGTTATTTGAGCACAGTTGAAACAGACGGTCGCCATTGTCTGTTCTTTGATCCGCGAGACCATAACATCCACCTAGGTGTCTTTCATTTTCATTTAGTCTACCTACTTGAGCATTGAAGTCACCAGCCATTATAACTATATCAGAGCGCCTAGCTTTTTGGAGGAGGTCCGAAAGCTTTCTGTAAAACTCATCTTTCATATCGTCTGGACTTCAGTCAGTGGGGGCGTAGGCTGATATGACGAAGAGGCAACGACGAGTGTCCCTATCTTTCCGAGCCCTTACTGTCCCGTTCAGTCGGACGGCGCACAAGCGACTATCTACTGGGATCCAGTCAAGGAGAGATTGTTCTGCCATACAACTCAGTGCTATATCTACACCGGCGAGGCCCCTGGAAGCAGCATCAGGGCTATCGGATACACGAAGGGTAAATCGAGCTGCTTCTTTATCTTGACATGGTGAGGTCAAGTGAATGATGCTACTGGGATCCTGTATGCGCGTTTCCGAGACGCAGCACACATCGATGGCACGAGATTCTAAAGTCCTAGCTAATGATGCCTGTTGCCCTATTTGACACAATGTCCGTACATTAAATACTCCAATATGTAGTTTAGAATGGGGTTTAAGGAGACCAGCAATGACGTTTCGTGAACGCACATCGTTTGCATTAGTGGTAATGGGTGATAAAGGAATGTGAGAAGAGTTTGTCGTGGAGATAAGAGAGATGTTAGGAGATGTAGGAAGGATTTGATTGTGACTTATTTGATTTCGTGTGCTTTTGTGGGTATGAGGGCGGATGTCACTTCCCGGCTGCCCACATCGTGGAAGGATGTTCCTTGAGGGACCTGAAAAGGAAGGCAGATCAGTGCTGGTCTTAACGACCTGGGAGCCTGACCGCAGAGTCCAACCGAGAACTGCTTCAGGCCGGTCACACACGGTCTTTTTATGAGAAGTTTTTGAAGTGTTGGCTTCGTTCGTTTTAACAGCTCCTTCCTTCGGAAATCCGTAAGGTAAGGTGTAACATTTTTAGGGTCGAACTTTTCTAACCCCTTCCTACCTTGTGAGCAGGCAGCATCGCTGCAGATGCTGACTGTCCAAGGTAAATACATTACTGTCATCATACGCCTCTACAGTCAGCAGTACGACTTCGCCCTCAGACCGTGAGTAGCTAATTTTGGTCTCATCGTTCTCCAATCGACCTGCCTGGCATGGTAGGACCTACAGGAACATTTGTTCCAGCCAATATAGCTCGGTTGGGTCATTACGACAGGCAAGCCCGACCACCACGTCAAGGTAACAGCTACGGTCGGGTGATGAAATGATAATCTGTTGACATATGACATTATACGGGAAGCGTATTGAGATCCGTTTACTGGACTTCCCATTTTAATCTCTTTCAATCAGTCAGTAACAACTTCGTGCATACATAAATATGTTCAGGTCACCATAAACACATTAGGACAGAGACTCAATTGTCAGTTCGAATCTCATAATGCTAGAGATAATAAAAGTGTTAACAGCCGTCAGGAAGATTAGGGTGTGAAGATGTTATTCAAGAAGTATAATCCAGTGAAACCTAAGAAGAAGACATAGGTGATTAAGAATCCGGAGGATTAGGATTTGAGGTAACACAGAGTGGATGTACCTGCGGCAATGCAATCGGTTTTAGGCCATGTCGTTCAAGATCTATAACCATCGGTTACAATCAGCTCGCGGGCTACAACCAGTGGTCTTCATGTAGTTGTTTTCATTAGATTATACTTCTTCAATAACATCTAAGCCTAATCTTTCTGATTACTGCTAATACTTTCATCTCCAACATTATGGGATTTGAAGTGACAATTGTGTCTCTGTGCTAACGTGTTTATGACGACCTAAAATTATTTACGTATGCACGAAGTTGTAACTGACTTTGTCCATGCCCTTACAGAGACGACACCAAACGTCTGACTTTTGGTCATACACTAAACCAAATCAATTTAATGGAAATCGTTATCTTATTTGGATTAAAGACCAATGAAACTGAAATATTTGGCTGAAAATGAAGCCCTTACTTTACGCCTGAATGTAGTGAATGCAGACTTGCATCGATGACATGCATTACCTTCTTTCCAACTAGGAGCACAAACTACACTGAACATTGCAGCACTCTCTGAAAACTCTGGAAAAATGTAGCCAGAGTTCTTAAGACTTTCGTAAGCATTTGTTACAGCACCGTAGCCAGGCTTATCGCGGAAAACATAAGCCCAGTTTTGAAGACACTCTAAAAGTTTTGCGCGAACATCTGGGGAGGTCTAAGATACGTTACTATATATTGGTTAACATACATCGACCATTTCAACAAGCTGTTGCATAAAATCAGTGCTGCTAACTTCTTCGTGAATGGGTTCACCACAGTTCTTCATTAATGACTCCAGTACCTACGGTGTAAATTTTTAGTAAAGGGGTTACATCGAGTGAATGTAGAACAACGTTCGGGTTGTCACACTGAAGACGTTTTTTCAAACATTGAACCGCATATTTAGGCCTTAATCAATATTGAATAACTTGAAGTATAAACCTACGAAATCTCTTGACTACGCACGTTATCGCAGATGGTAATGGTGCTCTCAATATCTGAATCAATCAACATTTCACTAGTCGCTTTTTCTGCGAATTTATTTTATTGCATTTAAAGTATATTTTACCGATCAGCTTCTCAAACTTGGAACGTTTGAAGAAATCCATACCAAGATGTTTTCGGAAGTCTCTGAGTAACGAAAAGATTTGAATACCGCTCGACTGTTATAACAGAAATGTATTTTTTTCCAAGTTTTTTTAAAACCAACCTTTCGTTTATATTTCATGCATTCATTTTAAGGGATGCTTTACAAATTTTTAGCCTCTCTCAACGACAATACAGTGTGTGATATTCGGTCCAGAGAAGCAAATGATAACAAACAAAAGTGAGGCCTAAATATCTGTTGGCAAATCTGTCTAAAACAATGTCTAAACACAGTCATACCATCGCTGATCCGGCTGGCTCAGGGATGCGAATTGTCTAGAAACTGAGGAAACCATTCTATCAAGACCAGTAGATTAAGTTTAAACTCTCCATGTATGTCATAAGTAACTGTTATGTTAGCCACAGTCGGAATCGGTAACAAGAGTTAATAAACAAAGGCCATATACAATGGTATAGAAAATGGACGCAAAAAGTTTGCGATAAGGCTCATCCTAATCGTATGAATAGAGGAAATTCAGAAGAACTAAACTATTAGCAATAATGTTGATTAACAGAATATATTATTGAGGCACAGTGGACTGATGCTTTTGTGATAGTTTATTTATTCTTTTCCTTTTTGGCTCTGTAGCACAAGAAGTCATGAGTGAGCTCTTCTCAGTATAATTGTCCAGATCTTCTTGCAAAAGGATTTCTTGGTAGGAAGTTAAAACCTGTACAAGGTTACGAACATGAGTCATAGACGAGAAAAGCAAAGAAAAGCGACATCAGCATCACTGATTAGTTACGTATTGCTATATCGTAAGGAGCTGTAAGCTAACAAAATGTTCTGCTCCATAGACATGGGTAGATTGGGTTATCGCCTCAGTCTGAAAAATCCGAAGTGAATGAGAGGCTTCAGGATGGTGAGTAAACCCAAATATCAATCGTAAAGATTCGATGCGGGCCGATTTATAAACCACCAATTGATACGGACAGTATTTCCTACAGTCTGCGAAATACATTAGAAATGTTCGCAGCATACATAACAAGACAGCAAACCTTATATAAATGATCGCATCATTTAAGTTCTGCAGTTATTTGTGCCTTTATTTTAACTATATCCCTTGATCTGTTTCTCGATTCTGTGTTCGTCTATGAGTTTTCTGATTAGTTGAAAAATTGGGTCAATATCGAAGTGTTTGTCGATTGCTGTATTTCGTATTCACTGTATTTGGTATTTAAACATTTTTCCAACAGAATATATGTCCATGGTTGTCCGCATGCATCGGTACCATGGCATTGGGTTGCTAATTGATGTTCACTGGACGAAGCAGAAGGAGATGTCAACTTGGTTATCAAAAAGCTCTTCGAAACGGGGCCAAAGCACATTCTGACAACTAGAGCAACAACTAATATGGGTACATGAAACACTCGCACATTGTGGGAGATCGGGAGAGTGATCCGACTTTCTGCAGGAATGAAAAAATACAACCTGCTGGTACTTGGATTCATTGCGACACTCTGCATGCATGTTGGACAACAAGGACTAGCTTCAGGAGAGGCTGTTATTCTCTGACTGTGAGGAAGAGAATTTCTCACATACACAAGGATTTGCACAGATGTTGTTCAAAAAAACACTGATAGGATGGGAATCTCATGGACTTAGGATCATCAAAGCCTCCCTCAAAACCAAGAAAAAAGGGAACATAATAAATATCATTTGAAATGATCCTTGAAGTGTTCTGCCAATAGAACCTTTCTCTTGCGTTGAGTATGAATGATACGACCGTTGACCCGAACGCTGAAAGTGGTAACATTTTTTCACCTGGTATAGTTTACTTCGTAAACTGCTCGTTGGTAGGGTATTATACTGATTTGATTGAATTATATACTATGTCCGGTGCAGTTTGCTTCTCAAGTGCAAACTCAAATTTTTAATCAGTTAATACATATTTGTCGTAGGCTAGTATTCTGAAGTACTATAAATGAGCGGCACAACAGTATGATAACTTACTTAACTTCTGAATATATTGGGTTAAACCTACTAATCAAATGACTGTAATTGTTACATTTATTAACTGTACATCTTATCCATCACACCTCTCCCTACCTTCACTGATTTTAGTATTAACCCAATTATTACACCAGTTATACTCTTATATATCTGCTTCGATTAGACAGGCACTTATCACACTAAACTTCCGATTATGACAAATAACTCGAGTAGAAGAGAAATATCACCAACTTCTAAACCACCCAAAATGTAGAAATCTATGCCCTATTCCTGATGAATCTATTATTGGAAGAGTCACACCTTCATCTTTTGACAAATGTACCTCTTATTCACAAATTTCACCGTCTTTACACAATAATCTGAACGAAAACTCAGAATACCAACGGTGAAAATTATATATAAAAGAGGTATCATACCAATGTGTGCCCAAATTTCAACACATTACTACACATCAGTATAATCTTGTGAAGCCCAATTTGAAAGTTTCGCGAACCTAGGCATCGAATTATCTATCCGACACCGACCATAATGTTGGTCACCACGGCAGCGATTCACGGAAGCTACAAAACTCACTTGCCCAAATCAAAAATAAGCTTAACCAGTCAGCACCCCTCAAGCACTTGTGGGGCTCAAATAATGATAGAAGAGTTTAGGAACTAACTGAAGCTCAATACATCCCAGAGTTTGTAGCTGAAGAAATTACGAAAAGGTTAATGTCTTCCTACAATGCGATAGCATTTAATCCCTCTGACTGCAGATCATTGACAAAGTTAATGGATACCTGTCTTCAAGCATGTGAGATGATGAACGTCAGTTGTCAAGTCATACGCCTCAGAAAAAAAATCCAATAAATTAACATGCCCTACTTTGATCAGATTTGGCTAGTGACTCAGAGCAATTTATAACTTTGAGCAAAAATATTAGCTCATAAACCCATTTTAACAGCACAAATGTTACTCCAGTTCTAGCATGTTAACGTCCTATAAAGGACGAGGAGCGACACGATAGCATGACTGCGTCACAGCAGACAATCTACTGATGAAAACTCATAATGTCATAAAGAAAAATAAACGTATAAATCACCCTTTACATCTTGATGAGTCTTTGAACTCTAAATCTTTTAAGCAAATTACGAATCCCGAAAGCCAATGAAAGATCTACCGACAACTACATTTCTAATCCAGTCTATTCGAACACTGAATAGCTTGAATGCGAGCCAAAAATAACACAAATGCAAATGAAACTAATCAACTAATGTTTAGTCCCCCCAAATGTATTACACGGAAGGACCCGAAAGAACTTGACTTTATCTCAAGAAACACCTTTAGGGAACAAAAACACACTCTAACCTTACTTAGGAAAAGTGGACCAACTAAGTCTTGTGTATCAAGTAAAAAGTTGGTATGATTCAAAAAAGCTAACCCACGACTCTCCTAGCTACGATGAACAGGTTCATCCCTTGACATCATGTGATGTGCCGTAGACTCTCTAAGTTTTAGGACTAATAATAATAACAACAAGTCTGACCAACATCTAATCATGCATACAAATAATTTTTATCCAGGCCCTAGGTACACTGCACAACCACCAAAACCCACAGTTACTAGTGAATGTGGCAGTAAAAGGTTTTTCATCTCACAGACCATCTTTAATTCCTGGGCTTTTAATTACGAAAACCCATAGAATGAAAAGTCTTTACTTTCCACCTTACCAAGCCAGCTGGTAAAACTCGGCACTAAATTTATAAAAGGTCATAAAAACTGGGACTTGAACACGGCAAACCCTTTCCAAGTTCAAGCCATTCCAAAGAAATATAACTATTTTTAGGAGTCGTGTCATCAAGACTGCACTAAAAACAATATATCTCAAGTCATTTCTGTGTGGATCGTTCTGAAACCCTCGAATGCATTTTTTTACTACCTGAATATGCTTAATGTCAGCCTAGCACACCAACAGGGGATCTAAAAACACCGTCAGAAGTATTCACGTTTGCTTTATCCCTACCATTTGCAGCCAAGACAATTTGTAGTGAATTGAACGTGCCTGAAATCTCTTGGTTTAAAATCTAAATCGGAATCTGTTGAGCAAGTTAGATTATTATTAACTCACTTGATAAATGTCTTAATTTCAGATATTATTTATGTGCTGATCAGTTGACCTTGATATTACATTTCCCATCAGGAAAATCCTTGGCTGTGATTGTTAGATGTATTATTTGCTTCAGTAGCATTGACTTGACTAACTTCTTTACCGTAAACAATACCGAAGAACTAACAACTGTATTTTATCCCAACACCCTCAGAATCCTGGAGGCCCAGGATTTCCAAGGGCCTATATTTTTCAGATCACATGAGAAAACTGCTTCGAAGACATGCTTTCAGACCTCAACTTTGATGACTTCTCCCGATTAGTTATGATGACAGAAACATTTGTGTAGGCAGAGATAATACGTACGAAAAATGTAATTTCACAGAAAAAACGTGCTGTCAAGCTGAATAATGAATCTTCTGCGCTTGTAAAATCCTTCAAAATAAGCTTAAATCCTCTAAAGTGGAGGGAGGGAGTGTGTTGCTCAGTGCATGAAGATCCTGAAGGTATCGCACAGCTTTTTAGCTGACATAGCTCTGCCTCATCAACAAACGAAAACTCAATAAAACAATCCCAAATGGCCTCAATACCGTTCTGTAATATCACCAGTGTAGACTTCAGTGTACAAGATATTTTTAAGGCAATTAATGCACTGAAACACTGCTACTTCGAAGAACCGGATTGCATCCCAGCCGGCTGCAAGTACCGAACCATACGTTCGACCAGACTGAAAGATGCAAACATCTTTCCCTAGAACCCCTATGGCGCCATCGCTTGAGAAACAAACTTATACCCCTCTATGGAACAATTTGTAGCCTCTCGTTCGTAAAATCCCGCTCAATTATGGACCACGACCCTGCTTACATACTTAGAAACAACGCATATACACTACTAGCGGCAAAACAGAAAAATTCATCGCGTTGTAATTTCCATGTAACACAAAACAGTTTATTGTGGAACGGGTTACCAACTTCTATCTGTATCT